GGTTTGTAAAAGCCCCATATGAGAAAACCCCAAATTTTTAAAGTTTCAAAGGCTGAACTATTTCTAAGCCTTAGTTCACACTGAATAAGACTTTGAAATTGTGCAACGTCACTTAAAGTCGCATAATTTCAAAGTTAGATGTCAGTGCAACTTCAGGTGTGGCTTGTAAGAAGACATCTGTGTGAATTCATGCACAGATGTTTATGCAAGTCGCACCCAAAATCACCAAAAGGTATTGCAGGGACTACTTTTCAGATTGGTGCAACTCCGAAAAAAAAGTCGGAGTCACACGGTTCATTGCGTGCGCCTTGTCATGCGATTTGAACTGTCATGTCACATCGGTGTGAACGGGGGCTAAATGTTGTAAACCCAGTCAGTTGCAGTAAAAAAGTAGGCAATACAAAATTAAGATATAAAGAAACCACAGCCATAGCAGTAAAGCCTGTCTCTAGCCAGCAAGCTGCAGAAAAGTATCACTGCTCTCTGTGTGAAAACAGTGGACTCTCTGCAGCATTCAGACACAACCCTTATAGGGCTCATTCACACTTGCTTTAACTTCAGCACACATTAAAGCACCAACCCCTTCAGCATGCTTTTTTGATGCTTCGGTGATGCTTCAATGATGCTTTTTTGAAGCTTTAATGAAGCTTAGCAAATGCCCTTTGTGTGTGTGTTGATTTTCTATTTGTTTTAAAGGGGCCCAGTAGAACCCCAGCTCAATAGTACCCCCCTTCAGCAGTTCCCCAGCTCATTATTACCCCTGTTTAGCAGATTCCCAGCTTATTGGCACCCTTGTTCAGATACCCAGCTTATTAGTACCTTTGTTCAGCAGATCACCTACTCAGTAGTACTCCCAGCTCTGCTGATCCCCCACTCAATAGTAACCCCCAGCTCTGCTGATCCCCCACTCAGTAGTAACCCCCAGCTCTGCTGATCCCCCATTCAGTAGTAACCCTCAGCTCTGCTGATCCCCCACTCAGTAGTAACCCCCAGCTCTGCTGATCCTCCACTCAGTTCTAACCCTCAGCTCTGCTGATCCTCTGGTTTGCTGTTCCTCTTCTCGGTCCCTTCTCACCACCTCCTATATTGATCCCACACTGCTCAGTACATGTGATATTGCTAGTTGGTTTTGTCCCCCAGTCCTGCTGATCCTCTCCCACTTGGTCCTCTCTCTCTGGTCCCCGTTCACCTTCTGCTTTAGTGTTTCCATGTTGCACACCATGTGTACTGTCTAATCCTCTCTGGTCCAGACCCCGCTCACCTTCCTGCTGCTCCATGCTACACACCAGATGTGACTTCTGCTCCAGACACTCCCAGAATATATAAATGAATCTGAAGCGACTATGGATTATATCTGAGAGCCAGCTGTTGTTGTACAATATCAGAAACACTCTAAAAATTCATGGAAAGCCTTCCCAGAAGAATATAGGCTGTTTATAGCCACAAAGCGGGTGGGGGTGGGGGGTTGGGGTTAGTGGCAACATGAATATAATTTGGAATGGGATGTCTAAAAAGCTCATCTAGGTAGTATGGTCAGAGTCCACAAACCTTTAACTATATGGTGTATGAGCTAGAAAAATATATTATGTTGCTTCTGAAAGCATAACCTGTTATCCAGTGAAAAAGGAAACAGAATACATAGACAGAATAGCCTTTTATAGAATATACATAAATATTGCATTTATTTTCAATATATTATTGTCCTCAGCAGTACACATATTTTGAAATTTAAAGTCCAAAGTCACTCTATTTGCTTTAAATCCGGATGGAAAGGTTCACATTTTGGTTTCCCAGTGCTTCCTGGGATATCTCGTACCTGCAAGACCTCCAAAACAAAACAAAGCTATAGCTGAATAAAAGCCTAAGTCAACAAACCACCTCTCCAACGCTCAAAAGGAATAAACGCCAGTAAGAAAATGTGGTGTGAAATAGATGCATCTCGGGAAAAGCTTTTGGTGGTGCAGCCCTCCTCAGACAAGGAAATCCAACCATAGACTGAAAAAGAACACACGGGGTGCAAACACCTAGCGCATTACCCAAGATTTATTGAGAAAAATATAAAAAGCCAATTCCATACTCAAACGACAATGCGATAATGCATATATAAAACAACCGATGGTCAACCAACATGGTAGCAGTTTCCAATTGTTGGTGATGCCGACGCGCTGACATGTTTCCTCAGCTCTGAGAAAGGGGACACGTCCCCGAAACACATCAGCATGCCGGCATCACCAACAGTTGGAAACTGCTATCACATTGGTTGATCATCAGTGTTTTATTTATACATTATCACTTCTGCCGTTTGAGTATGTAATTGGCTTTTTATATTATTTTTTTCAATAAATCTTGGGTAATGCACTAGATATTTGCACCCATGTGTGTTCTTTTTCTGAATAAAAGCCTCTCAAAAGCTGCAGGTGCTGCAAGCAATCTTTGCTTTAGACTTCGGAGATGGTCTTAAGCACCATTAAAGTGACATGGGGTATGATTTTTTTAAACAAAGCAAAAGCAACGTGTAAACAGGACTGTAAGCTATTTTATTTAATGACGGGGGCTTCGACTGGCATTGAGAGCACTTTAAAAAAGCTGGTCTGAAGCCACATTGTGAAGCACATATAAACAAGCCCTTACTGGGCAAGAGCTAAAACTCTACAATCAGCGGGGAACATTAAAGTGACACTAAACTCACATTTTCATTAAATAAAAACATGTGAAATGTTTAAATATTATTAGGATGTACAGTACCTTCTATTTCTCCCTTCCATCATTTCATATCTGAAATGCAAGCTTTATTCCAGTATTCTGAGACTATTCGTTCTCCATGCCCCCCTTGTGTATGTCATCTTAACTATCCTTCACTGCTCGCTCCCGCTATGGACTACACATCTATGTGCAAACGTATTCAGCGCCGTAGCTTCCACACGGTCCTCCCTTTTCTTATCACCCCACATCTCTCCAGGCCTAGGCTCTTCATTGATTTACAATAGCCAATGTTCTGTCTTTCTTTCTCCCAACACCTCTGAGCTTGTTGTAGGAGTAGTAGGGTGGAAGGAGCCAGCATTGGAATTGTATTAGACATAAAGTGGATGTGACTGGAAGTAATGTGTACAGCTCATGCTACACGAGCAGCGGTAAGACGCATTAGTGGAGGATCAGGAGCATGTACAGGACATAAGTGAAACGTGAAAACAATGATATGAGACATTTAGAAGAACAAACAAACACAGAGCCACAATATACTTTTTGCTTTAGAAGGACTTGTGTTAAAAAAACGTGAGTTTAGCATCATGTAAACTTTCCCAACTAGAGAGCTTCAGTCTCGACTTAGCAGGAGGCATGGCAGACCACTTCAGACAGACCATTGCTCTCACACAGAGTAGCGGTTCTTTTCTGCAGTGTGTGGTGGTGGGGGGGGGGGGGGGGGGGGGGCGGACAATTTACTTTAGCTTTAGCTGTGGCTGCTTTAAAACTAAACCAATGGTAAGATTGTGTTCATTTTTCCTTTCATTGCACCTGATATGTAATAACATTTAAGGCTCATTTACACTGGCAGTAGCCCTTGCCACCCATCTGAAAAGCGATTCGCGGTGGGACCAGTTTTCAGAAGGTCGTTGACAGAAGGCTAGAAGTTATTATGTCACCTCCTCACCACCTGTTTTAACCCTTAAAGCCCACACCATCCCACCGCACCACAACAGTGTAGATTGCACGAGGTGGCAAAGCAGCAACAATGTGACCCCATTCCCTTGAATGGGTCACGTTTGGAGATAGAGAGTATGATTTTTTTTGCCGCACCTGCAAAATAACCCTGTCTGGCTTCTGTATTAGGTTAGAGGGGCAGTCAGCCACCTATTTTTACTACCCCCTGGCCGCTTGTGTGAGTTCTAAAAATAAGAGTTCATTTTGGGTTGAAAGGATAAGTACACTTTTTGGACAAAAATAATAAATGCACATTTTTTTGTAGGTAAAAAAAAAAATGTGCATTTATTATTTTTGTCCAATGGAGCCTGGAAAGCATTGCACCAGTGATCAGTAGGTCACTGATGCCATGCAGGTCTCCTGCAGACCTGTCAGAATATCTGCTTGCCGTACAGGATGTACGGCCAAGCAGATATTCTGAAAGGAAGTTTCAATGAACTATCATGGTGCTCCACAGTGCCGTGGTAGTTCATTGAAAATTACAAGCCAGGGCTGCCAGGACTTATAGGCACTTATTCACAGAACTCTGTGAATGAGTGATGTGGCCGTGTAGGCAGAGCCCTGCACAGCCACACTGTTTTCCAATCTGACAGATTGTACGAGGAAACTTCTCCCCATACGATCTGTCAGAGGGAGTGGGTGGAGGGCGCAGAAGCAGCTGTCGGAATACGTTACATGTTCCACCCTAAAAACGAGTGGAACATGCAACATGTTCCAAAGGTAAACTTATCGTTTAATGGTAACTCCACTTCCGTTAGAAAAATTTAGCAAATAAAGAAAAAATAAAAAATAATATAGCATATACAATTGTTACACAAGTCATTAAAAAATTACCTTTCCTTTTTAATCTGCAGTGCTGTAATGTTCTGTAAAATGCAATGCAATCTGGAGACATTCTGTACACAGATGGTGTACAGAACCCCCCCAGATATGTCATTTCCTGCTTGTGTGATTGGCTTACTGATTTTTCCAGAAGTTTGCACAGATTTTGGGCATCCCTCGTAACAAAAATTTATTTTTTGGTGAGATACTCCCAAATGGAGATAACGTTTAAAGGGATGCAGACCCTGACATTTTCCTCAGAGCCCTGCAGATACAGCAGCTGCTTATTATAAAATAAACTCCCATCAGATTCACGTTCCACATGGGCATAGAGAAAAAACCAGCAATAATAAAGTTTGTTAAAACCCTTGCAATGTGCATAGATCACCCAGAGGGAAATGTTTTTTTTTCTCAATAAAAGTGGAGTTACAAGGCAGAGTTTTCTATTAGTGTATTCAAACAAATGATTTTAAGCTCACCTGGGACAATGTGATGCTGGAGACTGAAAAGGGCACATTTGTTCTGTGGTTGTTTCACATGTCACAGCCTGAACTAGAAAACACATGATTATATGTAACTATGTAGCTTTAACATATTACACAGTGTACAGAATAATCTTTAACCAAGATAAATATACTCACAGGCTACTTTGGAAACTGTGAATGAGTTTGCAGACTGATATTTGCTGTTGGATAAAAAAAAATGTTAATAGTTTACATGATTAAATTGTAATAAGGATAGGTTTTCACATACACTGTTGTAATCTATCCTGTTATGATGCGTTTTGTTCAATTACAGGAGTGTCTGACATTGCTTACCCAATTGACTGGATCCCATTCCTATAGGATTTGATGAAATAATTTCTTCTTCCTTGTCTTGTGACATCCACCCATCCTCCATCATTGTCTATTGCCCCAGCATGTATAGCTGCTCTGCAAATACTTGATTGCTGCAAAAAGGGAAATTCTCACTAAATTTATCAATGCTACAAACAGTAATATTCACAGAGATCACTATTATTACAATGGCCCCTTAATGTGTTACTAAACACAGGACCCTGCATTCACTATATCTGGTCTCCCACAGTACACACAACATGGAAATGCAATTATTTTAGTAAACAAACTGCTAAATACCTTTTCTCATCAGCAGTTAGAGCAGTCTTGTGACTTCAGCTGAGCACTGGTTAAAGCTTGTAGGAGGAGTTTTCATTCTGCTCTAGGAGGATGCAAAACCCCTGACCTCTGTCTGGACAGTGCCGATTGGCCCTGTGCTGATCACATGCACTCTCCCAAGAAAAAAAAAAAACTCTCTAGCAATACACACTAAGCTGAGCATGTGCAGAAGGGCTACTGCTTCAGTCTGTCTTATCAGCATAGATATTTGAACAAGAGAAGGGGCAGAGAAGTCAGAATCAACCAGCCTTTTTACACAATGCACAGGATTAACCCCTTAGGTTCCACAGTGAGTATAACAAGCATGCTTTACTGCTACACACACAGATTTTACTGTTGTGGGTTTAGTAACACTTTGAGTCAGCATGGATACATTCCTTACATGTCACCATATACAGCAGCTGTATCATTTTTTAGAAAAGCTCTACTTTGTATCTTTAAAAAGCAATCACTGAGCTCCAGTGACAGGCTTAGCTGATCTGCTGCATCCAGGAGGCCAGAAGGAAGAATTTCCTCAGTCTCCCCCCCAGTAATCAGACAGCAACATTGTAACTTTGGAGCAAGTCACAGGGCGGCAGGCTGCAGCATGGGGCTGATTTATTTCAGACATACTGTATGTCAGAAGCATAGGTAACAGGATTTATATGGTTGTATCATCTCTGAGCCACCAAAGTCCAGGATGTAGATGCTAATGCCTGAAAAAAGATGGCCTGGTCCTTCTGGACAGAGAAGCAGATGAAGGCATTGTCAGAGGACGTACTGTGACCTCTGTGAGAGGTAATACCTGGAAGTCTTAAGCTAGCCATACATAAATCAATTTTGTGCAACCTCCCTGCCCATACATTGAAAACCAAAATTAATTCTGATCTATCTGATTTATTGTTCAACTTCTGTACAACCACCCTGTCAGACTTTCCCCACTCGATCAGCACTGCGGCTATAACCAGCAGCGTTGATCAGTGTATTCTGATGACAGGGAGGTCTCCCTACTGTCAGAATACAATATCTCAGTGAGGAGGATTCCCCCATCCACCTCGAATGTGTAGATGGGGCAAAGGAGTCTTTGTTCAACCCACTGGTTGAATGCCAAAAAAAAAATGATTCACCTATGGTCAGCTTAAAGCCGGCCATAGATGGTTCAAATCTCGGCCAGCTCAGCAGGGACCGGACAGGATTCAACCCATCTATGGGTAGGCTGATTGCACTCAAGTCGATCAATGGATTGACTTGTTTACAATCAGTATTTCAGATTTTGTACTTGCGATTATTACTAGAGGCTATAGCTGCTAGCAGAAATTGGGAGAACACAATAGCTCCACGAGACGGATTCCCCATCAACACTGACTATTAATGGGGGAATCAAGCAATTTTCTTTTCTACAACCTGTAGTCGCTGGAAAGAAAATTGCATCATCTATGGCCAGCCTTGCACTTACACATGATCAAAACTGGAGCAGAGTCTGGAGTAGCTCTGTATTGCAACCAGTTTCTCTCTTTTATTTTCAAAGCTTAACTGAATAATATGAAGATATAATGGATTGGCTGCCATGCATAGATTCTCCAGATTCTGTCTGCTCCAGTTTGGAAAAATTGTCTCTATAATATTGCATGCATTTTACATGAATAAACACAGGGGTCAGACAAACAAATAGAAACACTACATGATTTGCAGGTGTGAAAGTGACCACATGTTTCACATTGAAAGTGGGCGTGATGTAACATTCTTTTGCTTCCGCTGTGTGATGAGACACCTAGCTAACAGGTGGGAAGCCTCACTTTCATCATTCACTGCGTGCACTGCTAGTAATACAGTCATGTCAGAGCTTACTGAGCTTCAAAGAGGGCAAATTGTTGGTGCCCACTTAGCTGGTGCCTCTGTGATTGAAGTTGCCAATTTATTTGACGTGTCAGAAGGTACAGTATCAAAGGTCATGACGACATACAGTATATAGCTTCCGGGAAAACGTTGTCTGATAAGCATAAGCACGGTCTGCAGACTGAAAGAGACAAAAGGACATTGTGCGGGATTGTGACCCAGAATAAGAAAACAACTGCTGCAAAAGTGACTGCAAAGCTCAATCTCAGTCCCATGAAAACTGTATACTGTATGCTGTCATAACCTTTGATGCTGTACCTCATGACATGGCAAATAAAATGGCAATGGCAATGGTACATACAATGGTCAGTGCTGCAGACTTGTGTACGTTCAGCCTGCCCATACATGGATCCAAATTTGCCCGGTTCCTACTTAACTGGCCGAATCTCAATCCATGCCTCAACACTTCCCATTGGAACAGAAAGTGGGAGGAAATCTTCCAAAAGGGACACCTATTCCAAAAGACAACTAAGATGATCCTTCTTACGCTATTTTGACACAGGCGGCTGAGCTGTAGTTTTACCACCCACTGGTTGCTCACCCAAATGCTAACATTGCAGCCTGACAGGGCTGTACACATTTCACAGCAGCAATGCTTTGCTTCTTGACTGCTGCATTTTTAACTCAGACTATCACCTGTCAAACTTGCTAATTAAATTCAAGTTTTCAGCTCCTGGATGCAGAATGATTTTTTACTACCAAATCCTCTTTGGTGACATTCAGGAGGTGGCAGGACTGCCTCCTGAACACCTGTCAATCATTGCTATACTGCCCTCTGAAAAGGGGGACAAGCACTGCCACCTCTCTGAAAGACTCATTTCTCTTGTGTTTCAAGTACAGGAAGTGAAGGAAAATTCCCCAAACAGGGCACACATAACAAAACAAAAAGCTGACAGAAGCTTTAAATGTTCCCTATTCTATAAAAAAAAATGTGACTATAGATACACTTTAGTACACGATTCAAGGTAAACAGTACTCTATCATTCTGTATTGTTCTTTCGGACAGAAGCATTGTTTCCGTATTGTGGTACGAAGACCTACTTACCTTCCCCTCCCTCCTAGATTGTAAGCTCGAAAGAGCAGGGCCCTCGTACCCCTCGTGTATTGTTTTGTTACTGTATTGTCTCATGTTCTGTCCCCCACTATAATGTACAGCGCTGAGCAAACCCTTTGGCGCTATATAAATACTGTATAATAATAATAATACTTACCATCTCATAATGAACACTTCCTATTACTTTGGCTGTGCTCTCCAAACAGCCAGCTGAACATTCATATCTGTGAATTCAAACACACAAATGTACCTTATCATTACTTCTCCTGGAAGATCACACTGTTCAGTGGTTTATTTGCACAGCATACAGTGTTGATATTTTGAATTATTAGCCACATTAATAGTTATTAAGGAAGTCAAAGATTCACTAAAAATAGAACACAAAAGGAAATAAAAACCACCCTTTACACCAGGTTTATATTCACTATTACATCTTCTACTGCTGCTATAATCAACTCCATTCTATCTTTAGTTTACAGCGTATGTAAAATTTAACAATGCATTTCACTTATTTTCTCCCTTTTGGTCTGTTAAATATACCATTAAAATAAAAAAAAAAAAATTTAAATAGTTTTATCATATCTGTTCGACATAGTCCCTAGTCCATTTTAGGAGAGAGAGAGGGTGGCTGTGGAGGAGTAACTAGAACCTTCAGGGCACCGATGCAAGAAACCATGACCCCCCCCTTCCCCCGCTGGGGCTCTTCCCTCCAAACCTGGGGACCTTCTCTACAAGCTCAGGAACCTTCCTACTGATCCCATCACGGGACCCTTTATTATGGTCCAGCAGTGGGACACTTTCATGTGTTCCTGCTGTCTTGGGGCCTGCCTAACAGGCAGAACACCAGGGCCCTGTTGCAAGTGCAACCTTTGCAACCCTGCTAGTTCCGCCACTGGTGTGAGTAGTTTTTAATTTTGTGTTATTTAAAGTGGAGCTCCACCCAAAAGAAGAAGCTCTGCTTTAAGGCTTGGGGAGTGGGTACCCGAATGTGACAAGCATCCACTCCCACTTCCGCTGAGATCGCCTAGGAGATTGGGAGGGGACGTTGCCCCCCCCCTACCTCCCCATAGTCTTCTGAGACACGTGACAGGTACCAGAAGACTACGGGACCATTCACAAAGGGCAGTGCTACTTGCGCATGCGCATGCGCAGTGAGCATCCAGCTATGAAGCTGCAAGCTGTCACAGCCTGGTGCCCACATTGAAGATGCCAGCGCAGAGGAGATAGGATGGTCCGTCAACCAAGCCAGGGTGAGGACACCGTGGGATCGAGGGACAGGTGAGTGTCCGTTTTTTAAAAGTCAGCAGCTACAGTTTTTGTAACTGCTGACTTATTTTTTTTATTCCAACTGGACCTCCGCTTTAAATAAATTTTTTTAAAACCAGAGTTTAGTGTCATTTCAACTTTCCATAACTCCCTGCACACTATACTCAGCCCATATCTGGGCAAAAAAAAAAAAAAAGGTTTTCCCATGCAGTGGGAATTGCCCGAGCGGCAAGGGTAACTGCTCATTTTAGTCTAAAGGAAATATACTTACCTAATCCTCTGATCCTCCCTGCACAAGACTGGTCCCTGTGGCTCTTTTCCCCCACCGTTTAGCAGTTTTGTGTCTTGGACTGTTCCTCATGTCATCAAGCCCATAGACCTGCTGTGGATATGAGGACGTCATACACAGTCCACTGCTGGAGGATCACGGGGCAGCGCTGTCTGGGGTGGAGGTTAAGGTGGACAAAATGAGCAGTTAACCCATGAAGTGCATGCAAATCCCCCTGCATAGGACATTTTTTTTTTTGCCCAGAATTGGGCTTTAAGAGTCAGTTAGCAGTGCAGTTTCATTAGTATAAAAGTTATACAAGGAACAAGAAACAGCAGGCTCTAAAGGATGGTGTCACTCCATGGCTATGGAGTTTGGCAAGAGAGTGTAAATCAAAAGAGCTGCCTAACAAAAATGACCTATAGTGGGGCATCCACCAGGACACTACCTGCATGGAGTCTGCATGTACTCTCTGTGCTTGTTTGGGTTTCCTGAAGGGTACTCCAGCTTCCTTCCACACTCAAAAAAGACATGCTCCTAGGTTACCTGCCTCTTGTATAAACTGGCCCTATATGTGTGTATGTATGCACAGGGGCGTATTTACTACAAGGCAAACAAGTCATTTGCCTAGGGCAGCATTTTTCAGGGGGGCAGCACTGCCACCTGGAGGAAGGGAGGGCAGGTGGGATCCATGAGAGGCTGCAAGCTGCTTGACAGTGTATGCAGAGTCTGTCACTCATTCCCAGGGATGTCCGGAGCTGGGGGGGGGTTGTGGTTTGCTGGTGTATGGGGGGGGGTTGGTAGTGGAAGCTTCTCTTGGGGGGGGGGGAGCAGGGGTGTTGTTGGTCAATCTCAAGCTCTCTGCGGGGAGGGGGGGGGGATTTTTTTTTGTTGACTAGGGCAGCACAAAACCTAAATATGCAGGTGAGATAGGGGGATCCTAGAGTGTAAGCTCCTTGAGGGTAGGGACTGATGTAAACATGTAGTATGTAAAGCATTGTGTAAAATGTTCTGTATATATAAATGCCTACAATAAACATGCACTCCTGAAATGATAATTCTACTTCATAAATGGTACAATTAAAAAATCAGGCAAATGCAAAGCTTATCAACCTAAAAATACTGTGGTGTCAGAATACTATATGTTTTCAAGGACAGATCTTGTCTGATGAATGGATGGCTAGCAGCCGATTACCTGTTGCACGTTGTCCCTTTACACTGGTCCCTCAGCCGTACCTCACAAGACACAATTTGAGCTGTAAATTCCAAGAAAAACAGTCACATGTACCTTAACTGAAATCATCAACATAATGGATACTTAGAATTAAACTCAAATCTTTTTATTTATTTTGTTTACATTTTTCATAGAACTGAAAAGGAGTTAGAAGCTTTGTCATGTTTGTATTGCCATTTGTGTCCACAGCGGGGAGATTTATCCTCACTTCCCAAGAAAGTGACAGTGCACAGGAAGGGAGGGGAATATCCCTAACAAGGACAAAACAAGCAATAAATAAACTGGCCACCATTCTAAATTCTTGGCATATTAAAAAAAAAAAAAAAAAAAAAAAAAGAAAAAAAAAAAGGTGCTTCCATTTTAGGTCTCTTGCCCTATTAGAGGGATTCATCTCATTTCTTGCATATAAAACTATCTATGTATAAATTTTATAGCGGAGTTGCACAAGTCTTAGTTCACTTAAAGCCGGACTCTAGATAAAAAAATAAAGATAAATTGCACTTCTCTCAGGCACTGTCCCCGGTAGACCTACCAATCTGAGGTACAGCGCTGGTCATGTTTAGGGTTAAATAATGTCAACCAACTTTCTGTGAGCTCTGGCCATCATGAACAGTACACCAGAGATTGATGATCAAGCTGGCCTGGGTTACAGAGAGATGCTAAAAGCCCAACTGTGGGCAGAAAACGTTTTTTTTTTTTTAATAGAAATTATGGTTGGGAAGGGCACTGGCGAGCTGGGCTTTGATTGGCTGAATGGATTACTGCCTATTAAATTTATTGCAGTTGCACACTTTTGGACTGTCTCTCTCTAATTGATAGCACATACAGAGCTGTATGAATTAGAAACAGGGAGCAAAGTGTATCCCTCCATCTGACTCATTCATCTGTGTGTCCCCTGTATACTCCTAAACAGTAGAGGATCAAACTACACTCTCTTTACAGCAAAGAAATCAACAACTGCAAAAAACATATAGGCTGGCCATAAACTACTAAAATTTTGTTTGAAATTTTTCATTTTAGGAACATTTGTTTGAATGTTCCTGTCAATGCTGTGAAAAATGACTACTGATTTGACCCCATTACCGATTAGAAAATCAAAAGGAACAGGACTGTAAATTTTTTTTCCAACAAATTTATAACAGCACACATGGTTTTCAAAAATTTTTATCATCGAAAGTTAAAAGCAAGTTAAGTTTTGAAGTACTTTCGAACGACATTTGTCAAGTCATTGTACTGAAAATATTGTTTGTTCGAAAATCTGCTCATACATGGCCAGCTTTAGGCAGGTAGGTATCAAAACCCCAACTGCTTGTTGTAAATAACTATTCATATCTACTTAGCAACTAATATATAAAAATCTCATTTTTAGTCCTGAACATATTAAAGTGAACATCTAAAATGAAAAATTAACAAATCATATCCTTCTATAGTGTGTACTTGCCTCTATGCAAAGCACCTAGTGTGATATCTGTCTTATCTCTTGTTCCTCTACTATCTGACTGTCACTTTTGACAGTCTATGCCGACTTCAGACAATCCTGGGAAATGGCTACGCCCCACAGCGGATGACTGACAGCCTCAGCTGTGCATGTTTCCCTATGAGACTGTGTAGAGGGGGGGCATGTCCATTCTCTCCACTCAGGTCTCAGATTACACTGAACTCTGTGCTTCTGTTGTGCACTGGGTGACACCAGATCCACATCCACTGCCTTCTAAAGCTAGGAAATTATGTTTCAATTCTGGACTTTTTAGAGGAGAGGGGGTGCTACAGATAAACAGGTACAACTGTAGGAGGATTCACTTAATTTCTGTGTATCACCTGTCACTAGTTGCTGCAGTGGGTATATGTAAGGGTTTACAACCACTTGAAACACCATATATTTCCTTTAGGATTACACAAACATTGTTTTCTTACACATTTGCTCTGTGCTGACCACTTCATTGCTGTCATAAGCATCAGGTCTGGTTGATGAGGTTGGGGAGTGAGTTCTTGCTCTGCTCTGTGAGGTGGTATCAATAGCTTTTGATCGCTGTCTCTCAATTTCATTTGTCTCTTCCTCCGGTTCAGGTATAGGATAGTGAAATTCTGAACCTTCTGTTAAAAAAAAATGTAAAAAAAATAAAACTGAAAATTATTAAAAATAAAATGCATTAATTTTCAAATGTGAAATTTATTTTCTGAATTATCCCTAGATGCTTCTTGTCCGCTGTACTTGTACGACAGTTACAGGCCCAGAAGTACATTCTATATGCTGAAGTGACCTTGTTTGATCTCCAGGAACAAGCCTTCCTGAGACCAGTAATAAGCATCTTCCCTACACGGCTGCCAACTGTGTAAATCTCAACCTAATTACTAGTTGTGGTTTAAAAAAGAAGACTCTGGTTCACTGGAGACCACCAAACTATTTCTCCAGGGGACATCAAGATGGCCATTAATCCTTGTGTTAGGAGGCATGACTCCAGTGCTGAAATGTCTTACAAAATATGGATTATTCCTCATGAATGCACAGATATATCAAATACACAGCCCTTTCACAGCAATAGGTAAATATTATTATCCACAGCAGAGTGCCAGGCTATTTAGAAAAACAATACCCTACAGGTTATTTTTAAAGTCTGGCTATTGGATAAAATTATCCAAACAGTGTGCGTATTCATTTTCAATATGAATGGTGACCCTGCACAAATTTGGCCAATATGGGCCAATGTTTTCACGAGTACACAGAAATCTCAAATTAACTCCTTTTTCATATAAACTTTTTTAACAAGGTATAATTTTGTGTATAGCTATTAATGTTAGATGCAGAACCTTGGACTTAAAGAAGAACTCTAGTGTTAAGAAAACAGTTTCTGCAATTTTTAATGAAGCTGTTTACAGATTTTCAAAATATAAACCATTTTTGATCTTTTAAAAGTGCATTTTAAAGTGATTCTGAAGTATAGATTTTTTTTTTCAAAATAACTACTACTTACTTACCTGCTCTGTGCAATGGTTTTGCACAGAGCTGCCCCGATCTTCTTTTTGGGTCCCCCATTGGCAGTTGGCACCTCCCCCCAGTGCCCCCCTAGCAAACCACTTGCTAGAGGGGCAATTGAGCAGGCTCACTCGCGAGCTGCACTCTTGTGTGTCCATTCATACACAGAGCACAGCTAGTCTCTGCCACTCACGCTCTCCTTATTGGCTCACTGGCTGTGACTGACAGCAGCAGGAGCCAATCAATCCTGCAGCTGTGTGAGCCAAGGAGGAGAGAAAGTCTCTAGGGAGCAGCTACTCTCATGCACATTGCGGGATCAAAATGGAGCTCAGGTAAGTATAAGGGGGGGCAGGGCTGGCAGGGGGGCTTCATCCAGAAGGTTTTTTACAATAATGTACAGAATGCATTAAGGTGAAAAACCTAGAGCCTTTAGAACTACTTTAAGCTAAGGATTTTTTTCAGTTTTGGATAGTGTAGGAAGTGTTGGAACCCCTGTAAAGTTTTTACTACTGACCAAGTCTCCACTGGGTAGATTTACCCTCTGTTTCCCAAAACATGAATAAAGGAAATATGTTTCCATTGGGACACCTGTTCTGGTGATAGCTGTCTAAAAGGAAGTTTCCCTCCCATTAAAGAGATATCCTGTCATTTGCCGTTGGGTTTACAGGACAAGTGAAATGTCCCTCGTGGGACACACACGGCCAAAAAATAAAAATAAAAAGTCTGCCGGGTTTAAAGCGATAGAAAAATGTTCATTTTATTTTAAATTAAAATAATAATAAACATGTCATATTTACCTGGTCTGTGCACTGGTATTACACAGAGCAGCCCCGATTCTCTTCTCTTTTTCTGGGGTCCCCGACTGGCTCCTCCTCTTTGGCGATTGCCCACCATGGAAAGACGTTTTTTATGGGGGCACTCATACAGGCTCACTTTTGAGTCGCACTGTCTGCATCTATAGACACAGGGCAGCTCGGGCCCCTTGTCATAAAATTTGATTGATAGTGGCACTGTTATCAATTTTCCCAGTGAGGAGAGAGAAAGCCACTGCTCTCATGCACATCACTGGATTGAGATAGGGCTCAGGTAAGTATAAGGAGGGGCTGGGGGAATCCTCTGGCACAGAATATTTATTTACCTTAATGCACAGAAAATATTATGGTAAAAAAACTTAAAGGCTTTAGAACTACTTTAAAACACAATTTACAGAAATCCTAAAAGGCCAGCAGTCACGTTTAGCTGCTGTCTTATCCATAGCAAACATTTCTTGCTGCAAGGGCTTGCCTTTAAAAAAAAATATTGTGCATAGTGGTTTTTATTTCATGTTAATAGGGTCTTTTTTATGGCTAAAGTGCTTAAAGAGCAGATTTTACAATAGTTGAAGCTGCTATTTGTTCATAGCATTCTGCTGTATCGATTGAAAAAAAAAAAAAAAAGTACAAGAACAGTATGTACCTAAACCAACTCACATTCACCGCACCGCCTATCCCCATAGTAAAAATAAAAGTTAGGCTTATTCTCTGTGATAAAAAAAACTGTGCTACAACTAGAAAATCTTACACAGATTTATTTAAATGAAAAAAAAACCTGCCTGTGCCCATGTCTCTAGCACATTTTGGCCTAGTCTTGATCATCAAAACATTCCCGCTCCTGGCCCATTTTACACTGCCTTATCTGCAGTTTCTTAATTATTGAAAAAAATCTGCTTGTTCTGTCACTTCTGATTGAATGCACAATACAACTGTCCTATACGTTGACAGTTTTTACACTGCTGTGTCATCCAAAGTTTCTTAAAATGCCAGTAAAGTCTCCTTTAAAAAAAAAAAAAAAAAAAACACAACACAAACATGTCATACTTACCTCTTCTGTGCAGTAGTTTTGCACAGAGCAGCCTCAGTCCTCCCCTCCTTGGGGTCCTCGCCGATGCTCCTGGCCCCTCCCATCGGATGTCCCCACAGCAAGCAGCCAGCTATGGGGGCACACGAGCAGGCTAGCTCCCAAGCCATGGCTCTACGTGTCCATTCACACACAGAGCCCTGGCTCGGCTCTGCCCCTCCCTTTCCTGATTGGCTCACTGGCTATGATTGATGATATACAGCTGTCACATGACCCATCTCTTTCCCTGCCTGTCTGCAGGGAAACATAAGCAGGAGGAGCTTCTAGTCCTCTGCTTCTGGTCCCATGTTCAAAAAAAAAAAAAAAAAAAAAAAATATTATATAAATAAAATAAATAATTAAAATCAATAAAACTGTTTTAAATCATCATACAAATATATATTTGAAATCAAATCTTTATTTTTTTTTTAACAATAACATGGTGTTGGTGGATTTCTGACAGTCACAGACTGTTACACCCCTCCAGCCTGTGTCTTCGAATAACAGGGAGGAGAAGCCTCCATCAATCTACATGTAATATCCCACCCCCATTGTGTTTAGCTGGTTAGTGGGCATTTAGGAGGGAGGGAGTAGGCTGTCATTTACCAGGGTGTATGCACCCACATTTGTGTGACTCTATAGTCACGTGGGCAGCTCAGATGTAGTAAGTAGGAAACTCTCAGCATAGAAATTCACTGAGAACTGAGCATGTGCAGAAGCTACCAACATTGCTCTGCAATATTCCCCAGCTTCATTAGGGATAAAATAAAGGTGTACTTTTGTGAAACCGGAGATCAGCAACGATCCTCAGGATACTCAGGATACTGCTGCATGATAAAAGGACACCAAAGAGAGGGATTGAATCCATACCCACATACAGTTTTAAAGCATCCCCCCAGTCTGTATTTTAAAGGATTTGTGCTTATTCTATATCACCCTCGACACTGCAAGGCCTTTTCCTACTGTAAAGTATTTTTTTGATTTTTTGGTTTAAGTTTGGTGTTTGTACATTGCCCATTGTCCCATGCATTTTTTTGACAATAGCTTGCCTACTACCCTATAAAATGGCCAGAAGTTACTAATTGTACTACCTCCTTTAGACTTCAATTAAATTTCCAGCTCTGGCTCACATCCACCAAACCCTCAGTAAATTGAACACAGGTGGCTTCCTGCATTCCTACTGCTAAATTATGACAGGCAAATGAGTAGGCATGATCACACTTCGGTCCTTTCTTTTTTATTATTCTTCCACATGCGTATGTATGACTGTTTGAAGAACTGTGCTAAGCACTGATTGCTCTAAGTAATTATAAAGGCTTATTTTTTAATACTCTAAATAACAAACATGTTATACTTAGCTGTTCTGTGCAATATTACTCAGAGCAGCCCCAATTAACCTGTTCTGGGGTCCTCCACCGATGCTTTTGACTCTTCTTCTCCGTGTGCCACTATAGGAGCCTGCAGGCTCACTCTCAAGCTGGGCTGTGTGCTTCCATTAACAAACATGGTGCAGTTTCCACCCCTGCTCTCTCCTCACAGGATTTGATTGACAGCAGCAGGAGCCAATGGCTCCCGCTGCTCATACTGAGTCCTGTGAAGAAAGAACGAGAGAGCAGTGCTGTTGCACTTGGGCACAGCTCTGGATCAAGATAGGACTTGGGTAAATATATGGAGCTGAGGGCATGATACAACCACTGGGACATTTTTAACTTGGTACAGGGAATGCATTAAAGGTAAAAATGTCATGCCTGTACCAAAGTTAATTGAGGACATGCTACCACTATGTACATTTAATCAGAAGCAGGTGCACATCTTTTTCTTAAATTCTTCCATGACATTTAAAGGGTTAGATTGCCCAAAATGGAAATTTCAGATATAGGTGGAGGCTCATAGACTGAATTGAATTCTGGAACTTGAGTAAAACTGAATGCTAAAGTTCCTGGCTCTGACCTTGCTGCTATGCAGTTTTGTTCTCATTGCTCTATAATCAAAAATGCAAAACACTTGGGAAATCTAATGGAATGCAAGACCACCATAATAGCCACAGCAGGTGGGCAGAGCTCTCAGCTCCAGCTCACCATTTGTGCCTTGGAGAGATTCAAGAGACTTGTGTGTGATTACACCTGGTGGCATCTATCTAAATCTGGAATGTGTCTGTGAATTGACCCTAAATATAACAGATCAGAATTGTATCATAATTTGAATGATGTAGACAGAAGGATATGGTAAGTAAAATTCTTGTACATTTCTAAAGGTAAAAGAAAGTTGATATTGATGAAAACGGGTAAATACACAGATGGAATACATATACGATAGCTTGGCAAAGTATTTATATTTCTATCCATCCAGTCCTGGAATTTAAACAGCTCCACCACACAGCACAGTCCAGTCTGGCAGTGCAGGAGGCTAGATTATTCTCTGCCACAGGTATTTGACACTTACAGTTCTTGTCCCCCCTATCCTGCTGCGGGCCACGTTAAAGGAGAAGCAGCAGAGTTATGAGCTAATTTCTCCGTTACTTTGCTGTTTCCTCCTATCAGCATTCTTCTTGTAAGCATTGCCACACACTTTGTTGGCTGCTTCTCCCTCTCCTAATCTAAGCACTGCAGGGACTGCAAAGGGCCGATACCAAGTCAAATTTAGGTACATAATTAGTTTTTAAATATCACATAACTTACCTTTGTAACAAAGATTGTCTCTGCATCCTCCTCCATAGCTAGGTGGGCAAGCAGAGCAAGAACGGCCATGTTTATATGGAGCATGTCCCCACCAGTTTCCCCTGTAGAAATAAAAATGCATAATTAATGTAAACCAATATTTACTATGCACACAGGGCATTTTTTGAGTCACTTTTAGGGGTGTCAGGGATTATTTTTGACAGCTTCCAAACGGCCCTCCATGTTATGCTATGTGTCCATACTTACACAGACTTTTATAAGATTTTAGTAGCAGTAGCTTTTACCAGCAGGAGAAGAAACCCAGGGCCAGAGAAAAAAAGCTTGACACATGTAAACATGTCTAAATGCCCCTTAACACTAGGCGCACGTAGCGCTTGAGCGTCAATTCATTTCAATGGCCAGAATACATTCTTATTCTGGCGAATGAAATTAACATCCAAGCGCTTGACACTTGTAAGCGCGCTTAAACGCTCGTAAAAGCGTTAGACACTTGGACAAGCGCCAGTTGTCTTTTCTGCCAAAAGTCTGCTGCCGAAAGGAGGAGCGTTTTCAAAACGTCCTATGTGCATGAGGCTGCTAATTCTTTGTTCTTGGCAAACTAATACAATGAATGAGAAACTGAAGATTAGTAGCAACCTATTTTAAGTGAACTTGTACAAGAAATAAGAATAGAAAAAAGGCAAAGAGTGCAAAAGTACAAAAGGCAGTAACTAGAGGAAATGTCATCTTTCATTAGCCCATCTACCCTGACTACAGTAAAGTGGAAAGGACACATTCAGGAGTTGTTTCTGAGTACAATCCTCATTTCCTGTAGAATTCAGCAATCTCTGCCCAGCTGCCATGGAGAAATTTTAAATAGATGCTGCAAGCCTAAAAAGTAAATTGACCAAAAAGACCACGTCTAAGGGGTTGATTTACTAAAGGCAAACAGACTGTGCACTTTCTCCATGGTTTTGTAAATGAGCAGAAGCTCTGCTGACTTCCATCATCCAATCATATGCAAACAAAAATGCTTTTTTTTGTTTTTTTATTTTCCTTGCGTGTGATTGGATTTTCTTTGCAAAGTGAAGCTTTACCACATTTACTAAGCTCTACAGTCTATTTGTAAATAGTTTATTTAGTAAATCAACCTCTAAGTCGCAAGCACATTTGGTGTGTAGCCATGGTGCATGAGACTCCAGTGTTCAGGTTCAGGCAGAAGGCACAGGCACACCATCCAGCACTGCTGCCGGCAACCTGTAAAAGTCTATGAAAGGCTAACCACTGCTGTGCCTGGGTGGGTCACCAAACCATACTAATGCTTAGGGTAGTATGCACCCAGTAACAAATGCCAGGTCCCTGGCCGCATACTGCCCTAAAGGTTAGTAGCACTTGGTGCATTGTACAGCTCTCTCCAGGTGCACAAGTGGTCAGCCTCTCATAGACTTTTACAAGCTGCCAGAAGTTGGGTCAGACGATGTACCTGTGCCTTCTGCCTGTAGCTAAATGCTGGAGTTTCATGCCCAACATACATGAGGCCTCAAAACGGAAGCTGTAAGCAAGGAGGTTGTTAGATGTTAAAACTATCTGGGCTGCAGGGTCCTAGAATCATGCTAAATGTAACCTGTAGTAGAATGTTATGTACAGAAGTTTGGAAAGTGTTGCTTTTCTGTTTCTGGGAAGGTACCTACAGTTGTGTTCAAAATAATAGCAGTCAGACATCACTAACCTGATCAATCACTGTTTTTGGTAGAAATGATATTTCTACATGGCAAATAATTTACTAGCAGGTGTAGTAGAGTAATAGAAAGCCAACAGACCCAACAGTCATGACATGCATGCTGCTGATTCTGTGTAATTGAATCACTAATTGAAAGGGGCATGTTCAAAATAATAGCAGTGTGGAGTTCTATTAGTGAGGTCATTCATTCTTTGAAAAACAGGTGGCAATTATTGCCCTTATTTAAAGGAAGGAAGGCAGCAAATGTTGTACATGCTGGTTACAGTGCATTTATCTCTGAAATTCTGAGGAAAATGGGTCGTTCCAGACATTGTTCAGAAGAACAGCGTACCTTGATTAAAAAGTTGATTGGAGAGGGGAAAACATAAAACGAAGTGCAGAAAATGATAGGCTGCTCAGCTAAAATGATCGCAAATGCTTTAAAATGGCAACCAAAACCTGAAAGACGTGGAAGAAAGCAAAAAACTACCATTCGAATGGATAGAAGAATAGCCAAAATGGCAAGGACTCAGCCAACAATCAGCTCCAGGAAGATCAAAAAAGGTCTAAAGTTACCTGTGAGTACTGTTACAATTAGAAGATGCCTATGTGAAGTCAAGCTATCTGCAAGAAGCCCCCGCAAAGTTCCACTGTTGAAAAAAAAGACATGTACCGAAGAGGTTACAATTTGCCAAAGAGCACATTGACTGGCCTAAAGAGAAATGGCGCAACATTTTGTGGACTGATGAAAGTAAGATCGTTCTTTTTGGGTCTAGTGGCCGGAGACAGTTTGTCAGATGAACCCCAAACACTGAATTCAAGTCACAGTACACTGTGAAGACAGTGAAGCATGGTGGTGCAAGCATCATGATATGGGGATGTTTCTCATACTACGGTGTTGGGCCTATTTATCGCATACCAGGGATCATGGATCAGTTTGAATACATCAGAATACTTGAAGAGGTCCTGCTGCCTTATGCTGAAGAGGAAATGCCCTTGAAATGGGTGTTCCAAGACAACGATCCCAAACACACCAGTAAAGGTGCAACATCTTGGTTCCAGACCAACAAGATTGACGTTATGGAGTGGCCAGCCCAATCCCCGGATCTTAATCCGATAGAAAACTTGTGGGGTGACATCAAAAATGCAGTTTCTGAGGCAAAACCAAGAAATCGAGAACTGTGGAATGTAGTCCAATCATCCTGGGCTGGAATACCTGTTCACAGGTGCCAGAAGTTGGTTGACTCCATGCAACACAGATGTACAGCAGTTCTCACAAACTGTGCTTATACAACTAAATATTATTTAAGTGATTCAAAGGAAAGCGAAATCTTCAAACATTTTTCAGTTTATATAGTGAATGTTTGCCTTTGTAAAGAAGAATACAAACACTGCTATTTTTTTGAACAGTCTAATATTCACTTGTCTTCAATTTTTTTTAGAGGAACAACACAAATTTGATATATTTTTCTTCATGTTTTGATTTGGAATAGAATGTGTAGTGTTCCCAATGCATTTGTGTGTATGGAAATAAAAGCTATTAGAAGGATTTTGAGCTTTATTCACTTTTTTCAACACACTGCTATTATTTTGAACACAACTGTATGTACTCCCGTTTCACATCTAGAATTACACTGACACTCATTGCAGTACTCTCTCTGAAAGGGGCTTTGCCAGAAGCTGTCAGTTTTTGCGAAGAACACTGCAATGCCTGCTTCTGCTTACTTTTCGTGGTCATTGGACTCACCTTGCCCCTCTGTAAACCCAGGACCACTACCGGTGAAATCATAATGAAGAGTGGGAGGAAGTCTGAACTGCAGTTCACCAATCTCCTTAGGCTGATTGAACCCAGAAGTGTTCAGTCCTGAGCACATTTGTGTTCAGAACTCTCAAATCCCAGTTGCAGCATCGGTTATGACGCATATCAGATACTCTCTGGGGTTAAGGGCAAATAGACTGTGCGCTTTGCAAATGCAGTTGTACTCTGCAAAGTGCAGTTGCCCTCATTTTCTTTAGTAAATGTAATTCGTTAAACTTCACTTTGTAAAGAACACCTAATCTGAGAGCAAGGAAAATAAAAAAAAAAAAAAAAAAACAGAACACAGAACATTTATTTCTTTCACATGATTGGGTGATGATAATCATAACAGCTTTTCTACATATACCAATTCATTCAATCTTTTGTTGTGATTAGCTGTAATTGGGCAAAGCTGATCACATGATACAGACTGGCACTGTCTGTATCATGTGACTGCTTTGACCAGTCACACCTAACAACATAATTGTATACAATGGATGGCATGACAGGATGCCATGCAATTGACATGTGATCTGCTGTGATTGGTCACAAGGGTCACATGACACTGGCAACGGGCCGTCATAGCGATATGTCATCGGCTGTGTCCCGTGGACACAGCCGGTGACAGATTGCGCTGTTGCACATCCCCGCAGCCGTGTTAGCGGCTCGTTTTGACAGGACGTCATATGATGCCCAGTCACAACAGTGAGTGTCCCACCCGGCCGTCAATCTGCTATAGGCCGGGCGGGAAGGTGTTAAATTATGTGACTTTGAAATAGCAATTAACATGCAATATTACTTACTTTGGAGAATAATTGCACACTAAATATATTGCCTTCGCCCAGATTTGCCCCCAAATGTTCATGTTGTGACACAGGTTTATGGCACATCCAATTCGGTTACTCGTTGCCCAAACCACCTGAATCAGAAAATACAAACACAATAAATGACTAAGTAGATTATGTTCAGTTTAGGTTAAAAATTACAATCATTGCATCTAAAATGAACAACACAATTTATATGTGTGGAATGGTTTCGTTTTTTGAGTTCATGTAAGCAGTGGACTTTAAAGAAGCTACTCTGAAAGAGTGGCATGCAACAGAATGAGGGGGTTCCCTGAAATCTTTTTAAGGATGCAAATCTCCTTTAAAAATAAATAAAACATGGCCATACCTGTGTATAGTGAGTGCAAACAGGTCCTGAACACCTGAATGGGCAGTAGGGGTTACATTCTTGTGGATATGGAAATGTGTAATCTCTCACTTCGTCATACCAAGCCTGGACATGGTAGGTTGGAGGCCTATATCTATATAGGAATGAACATAAAAATCATATAGTTTCTCATCTTATACTGCATCATCACATGTTATTGCTAAGAATCTCATCACCTACCTCCCCCAGTGAGCCCCTAGGTTCTGTCCAATGGATGGAAGCAAATTTGCTGGACCATGTTCCCACAAGCAAGTAGATGCCCATTCTTCAGCAGATCGTTCAAGCTCCACGTCCCATATCTGCAAATGGTATATGAAAACATCTCACATTGGAGACAAGAAAATGCTTAGGTCACATTTATACCATGCTACATTTAGGTACCTTAAATTAATGTCAATATTAAATGTACATTAACCACTTCAGCTCGAGAAGATTTTACCCCCTTCATGACCAGGCCATTTTTTGCTATTTAGCACTGCACTACTTTAACTGGTAATTGTGTTGTCAAGCAACATTGTACCCAAACAAAATTTATAAAAAAAATTTTCACACAAATAGAGCTTTCTTATGGTGGCAGTGGATCAGCACTGGGTTTTTACATTTTTATTACATAAATGAAAAATACCAAAAATTCTGAACAAAAGGTTTTTTACTTTCGGCTATAAAATATATCTAATAAAAATTGTAAAAAAAAAATCTAATTTCTTCATAAATTTAGATCAAAATGTATTCTGCTTCATGTCTTGTATAGTTTACATGAAAGTTATAGAGCCTACAAGCAACAGTATATATACTGGAATTTTTATTTATTCTTTTAATACTTCTAATGGTGGTGATCAGTGACTTACAGAGGGATTGTGAATGTGGCAGCCAATCTGATACTGAAAATGGGTGGGACCCGAGTAACTGACACTTCTATTCACCAGTGATACGAATACAGTGATAATACTAATTTACTGTCACTGTACTAATGACACTGGCTGGGAAGGGGTTAACATCTTGGGGTAATCAGGGGGTTAACTGTGTGTCTAACAACTGTTAATGTGTGTATTATGTGCTGCTTTTTACTAAAAATCTCTGTTACTTGGCAGAGATCATTCCCTCTGTACAAAGCCCTGTGTTGATCGTCAACACAGGGCTCTGGGCTGTGATTGGACACAATCATCAGCAGGTACAGGCCATGAATCATTGGCAGGGACCTGCTGAAAAATGTCCAGTGTGCACAATCACAGTGGGAATCGATGTGTAGGGGAGCACACACTTGCCTTGTAACCAGCTACCATGGGGACTAGAATAAAGATCTCGGCACTGGGAATAGAGACTGCAACAAACCATTTTTCTCAGTAGAAAAGACAAGGGATAGAATCTGTGCCAGAGTATTACTTTCTGTAGCTTCCTGACTCAGTGACAACAGCACCTCTTACAGTATATTATTGTCCTACAGTCTCTGGGACAGGAAGTGAGGTAACAATCTCCCCAACAAGATCATGCTCAGCAATTACAATGACAAAAACAGCTCTCGGTCCCCGCTAGTGATCCGTAGCCAGCAGAACCGTCAATCTCCGTGGCCACATGATCGTCACTCCCTCCCGCCCCTTGGGCATTTAGAAACTTTCAAAGGGATTTTGGTGTGGGTGGGAAGAGGTTACGGAAGAGAATTCTGTGTATATATAGTTACATAACGGCTGACGTAGGCTCAGAGTCTAAGCACTAATCAGTATTCACCAGATTTCCTGATGGTGGAGATGGGTTTTGATGCGTGTTAATACTAGGTTGTGGTCCTCAGGATCGCCCCACCAGGAGGTAAGCAAGCAGGGGGGTCCAGTAGCAGATATAGCAGGTAGAGATCAAGCAGAAGTGTAATCAGTAAACAAGCCAAAAGGTCAGTAACAATAAGTTGCAGTTTAGGATCAAGTGGAAGTGTAGTCGTGGAAGATTCTACAAGATTTCGAATGAATGGTTGCAGGTTGGGATCGAGCGGAAGCAAAATCAAGGAAGAAATCAAAGGTCGGTAATGATCGTTAGTGGCGACAAGGACAGCAAGGAGCAAGATATCGGCTGGAAAGAGCACAATAATCGGCAAACAGGAAGTGCAAAGGCATTGCTTAAAGTATGGCTTACTAAACCCAATATCCTGCATTCATTATCTCTGGTCTGCCACAGTACACACAACAGAAATGCAATTATTTTAGTAAATGCTAAATACCTTTTCTCATCAGCAGTTAGAGCAATCTTGTGACTTCCATCAGTGTCCAGTAGAGCACTAGTTAAAGCTTGTAGGAGGAGTTTTCCTCCTCCCTATGAGGCTGCAGGGCCCCTGATCCTCTGTCTGGACATATCTGATTGACCCTGTGCTGATCACATGCACTCTCCCAAGAAAAAAAAAAAAAAAAACTAACAATACACACCAAACATGAGCATGTGCAGCCTGTTCCCAAACCTCTGTTCTATCAGGATCTATTGGTGACAGTAGAAGAAGAGGAGGATCAGAGAAGACAGGATCAAACATCCTTTTTACAAAATGTGGAGGGTTAACCACTTAGGTTCCACAGTGAGCATAACAAGCATGCTTTACTGCATATACAGACTGATTTTACTTTTGTGGGTTTAGTAACACTTTATATAGAACGTTCATGGGGGGAGTTCAAGGTTCACCAGAAACCAGGTATTAGGCAAGATTGTCCAAAGGATCAGACAGTGAACTATCCAGCATCTCAGGTGGTTCAGCAAGAAGAGCTACTGCCACATGCAATAGAGGTTGAGGGTTCAAAACCCAGGCCTGACAATGCTGTGAACACAAAAAAAAACCTTTTTTTCTGTTTTCTTGCATATGATTGGGTATTCTTTGCAAAGTGAAACTTCCCCACATTCAATAAGCTCTGGGGCAACTTCCTTTGCAAAATAAACAGACTATTTGTAAATGAATCCCCTGTATCAAATGAACGTCAGCATAAGGAAGGAACTTGCTATCCTAACCAAACATCTGCCTTATAAAATGACCTCTGCAATAAGCACAGGCAAGGTGTCAAATGGAGATCACAGGCCATTTTCTCTCAATTACAATGTATTTACTGTTGCCCCAAATTCAGTTTACGTGAGCATCCTACAAAACTATTTTCTCTTGTTCTTTTACAAATATTTTTTTTTTTAATGCAATTTCCCGCTCGCTGATTTTTTTTTCCCCATAACATCCAAAAAGAGGTTTTATATTCTGCTTTATACTTATCTTGGCCCTTGCTCGACATGCCAGAGCTGCCATTTTGGCCTCAGTGAGGCTTTTCTCACCTCTTCAGCAGTTTCTTTAACTTGAAAAAGTATCTGTCCTCTGTTAATATGAGTTTAAATTATAGGTGTAAAACAAGGACACATTTTGGTAGCATGGCAACTGTCTGACTTCCCCCAAGTCATTTTTATAATAGGTTTTTCAACCATAGGTAGTTATACATTAAGCAAGGCAGCAGCTGTGCAGTCAGTCATTTTCTATTTTAGGAGAATAGTATCATTTTAGGTCATTCAAATATGTACATATAGACACTTGACTACACATTTGGAAAAAGGGCCAAAGTGCAAATAAGGGCAAGATTTTAGGTTTGTTTTACCAAAGTGAAAGCAGCTCTTTGCTCTTGCCCACTTTCCAACAACTTCTACTGATTAATTATATGTTTTATTGTGGTTTTTGATCCTACAAGGCTGCCTATACTTGCTGTGCTAAAGAACCGTTCATATTTGTACAGATAAAAGTATCTAGGTGTGGGGAACTGACAATTATGCTAAAGAAAACACAGACTGGATACTGTATATTATTCTATCATATTTGTTGAATACAAGTTTTAACTTTTTTCTAAATCACCTTTTTTGTCATGAATGGCTGTTTTTAGAGGTACATTTATCCACAGAAACAGCGAAATGAGGGGATCCCTACTACATACCTGTGAGATATATTATTATATATATATATATATATATATATATATATATACACACATACACATACATATATACATATATACATACACACATGCACACACACACAGTGAGGGACAGAAAGAATTTATTTGTCTTGCACTGCTGAACACAAGTATTTGAACACCTAAGAAACATCAAGAATTCTGGCTCTCAAAGACCTGTTACTGTGCCTTTAAAAAGTCCACCTCTACTCCACTCATTAATCTAACTTAGTAGCACCTGTCTGAGCTCTTTAAAGACACCTGTCCACCCCACAGTCAGACGTCAACTACTACCATGGGCAAGATCAAAGAGCTGTCAAAAAACACCAGAGACAAAATTGTGGACCTCCACAAGGCTGGAAAGGGCTACGGGGCAATTGCCAAGCAGCTTGGTAAAAATAGATCAACTGTTGGAGCAATTGTTAGAAAATGGAAGACGCTAAAGACGACTGTCAGTCTCCCTCGGACTGGGGCTCCATGCAAGATCTCACCTCGTGGGGTATCACTGATAAGAAAGGTGAGGAATCAGCCCAGAACTACAAGGGAGGAGCTGGTCAAATGACATGAAGAGAGCTGGGACCACAGTTTCAAAGGTCACGGTCGGTAGAACACTACGCCGTCATGGTTTCAAATCATGCATTGCACGGAAGGTTCCCCTGCTCAAGTCATCACATGTCCAGGCCCATCTGAAGTTTGCCAATGACCATCTGGATGATCCAGAGGAGGCATGGGAGAAAGTCATGTGGTCAGATGAGACCAAAGTAGAACTTTTTGGTCTAAACTTCACTCGTCGTGTTTGAAGGAAAAAGAAGGATGAGTTGCATCCCAAGAACACCATCCCTACAGTGAAGCATGGGGGTGGTAACATCATGCTTTGGGGGTGCTTTTCTGCGAAGGGGACAGAACGACTGCACTGTATTAAGGAGAAGATGAATGGGGCCATTTATTGTGAGATTTTGAGCAACAGCCTCCTTCCTTCAGTCAGAGCATTGAAGATGGGTCGTGGCTGAGTCTTCCAACATGACAATGACCCGAAGCACACAGCCAGGACCCTGATGAAGTCACGTGTTACTCGTGACGTAACGCGTTGGTACGCCTGTTGTTTGTTCCGGGACGCAGTGACGTCATTTCCAGCGCACGCGCCATATTGGTACTCCATGAAGCCACATGTTATGAGGACAGCCAGCATTTAGGCTTATGATACCTGCAAGCATGTTAGTGGGCATTTTTAATTAATTATTATCAAATAAAGTGACAATATTACACTATGGAGCGTATCTATTTGTGTCTCTGAGTGGAACCTAAGGGGACGTGAGGTATTGCCAGGACGGTGGCGTGCAGTAGAAGGTCTGGTTGTAGCCTTGGCTTAACATCCATTACGGTCCAACTGGGAAGGTGGTCCCTGGGAGATCGTTTGGTGG